AGTTTATCTACAATTTAAGCCAACACTTAAGTTTGTCAAATGTAATGGCAGATTTGGCGTGTTATAAAGCTAAAGAAAACTTTTGGGCCAGAGGATTTGTATGGAGCTCATTAGATAGCATTGAGCCCCTAATATGGTGGAAAGGTATTTGTGGTTCCACTGAGTTAAGCAAAGTAGCGATTCGTATTCTATCAGCTCCCTGTACTTCGGCAGCCACTGAGCGTTCCTTTAGTATCCAAGGCTACATACATAATAACAAAAGAAATCGACTTACAACTGAAAGAACTGAAAAAATTTCATTCATTTGTTATAACTGGAATCTTAAACATAAAGCTGAATGCGAGGACATTCAGTTTAATGAAGAAAATACCTTAGAAGCTTTCATTGAGCAAGTAAATGAACATAACAGTTTAGACGAAATAGAGCCTATCGAACCTATACAATTCATCGCTTGTAATAACTCTGAATCTGACAGTGATTGACTGTAGTTTTACATTTTACTTTCATCTCTTTCTTAATAAACTCAAAATCAAATTAAAAGTTTTTTATTCTGTAGGCTGCATAATAATATTGTCTATGTCCAGTATAGTGGACGTCTTGCGGCTGAGATGACGATGATGAAGTACAAAATCATAAACACCCAAAAATTTGGGTGTTTATGGGGTTTAAACCCAATAAACCCAAAACACCCGGTTTTTACCCACCAGACTTTAAACCCACCCAGGTGGATTGCCCATCTCTACACATGGTATAGTGGTATTTATTTATCGAGTGAGATATTTTTGGTATTGACTTAGTAAAATAGTTTCTAAATATTTTGTCGGTTTTCGACGCACATTTTCTTTTGAAAGTACTCCTTTAAAATGATGCTTACAATTTCGATTTCATCATGTACCTGTAATGCAAAATAGAAATTAATCTAACGTAAATGTGAATGAATTTCACTGATAATATAATTTCAATGATAATACCGAAGATATTTCCGTGAAATGAAAAAGGCTTTCCGCCTTTGGGTGTGATAAGGAAAATTCGGCTATAAAAGGCTACCTCACACATTAAATATATTTTAGTATATCTACTAATTTTATAAATGTGAGATTGTGAAGACATCTTAATGCTTGTTACTTAAACACGATTAAACGGCTCAATAAATTTGAATAAATGTTGGTAGATACATAAAATACACAGTAGATTAATACATAAAATAGACTTTATCTTAAATCCTCAATACATATGTCACACAAGTGACATAATCAGTAGTTTAATTTTTAATCTGTAATATTGCGGGTTGAGGTTTATCAGGATCAATAACAGACTTTTATTTTAAAATAAATGGAATATAAAAACAGATAACAATTCTACAATTTTATCATACTAACCCGATACAGTAACATATATTTTTTTATTTTTAATTATACTGAATATAACAATGAAAATAATATTAAATTAAAAAAAAAAAAACATTTTATTATTTAAAAGTCCACGTTATTTAATAAAATTATTACGTATTAGAATTTATTCCAATTGTAAATTTATATTTTCTATTTTATGAAGTAGGTATATTATATTATTATTTTGTAATATAAGTATCCATTTATCAGTTTTATTTAATATTTTTAGTAAAAAAATAATTCCAAAATTAATTTTTATTTCTTATCTAACATTTATTATATTAATTAATTTAATTTTTAATAAACACAATTTTCTGATATCTAAATAATTAAATAAATTTTAATTTGAACTCATTTATTATTTCTAGGAATACTTACCTCGTTGGAAATATTAAGAGGTGTATTATTATAACATGTCTGGCAACACCTGTAGGTAGCGTGCGAGGTACAACGAGAAAATGGTATTTCCATTTTTACAATTTCAATTTAGTATTAATTCGAGTCTCGGGTACGGTTGGGCGCGCCGCCACATGTAAAATATGGATCGGCTAAGTGAAATTAAAATGCTCTATAAATTGTGATTTTTGCAAGTCCTAAAGTGGAGAAGGCTTTTTATTATTTATCGCCCGCTCGCCCGTGGGCAGCAACCGCGAACTGAAAATTGCATTTTTTTTATAATATTTACCTTGATAATTCTTTGAAGAGCTACTCGTAAATGCACGGGTAATATTCGCCGTCATTAATTTTGCCACTTATGTACCCTCAAATATTATTTTTATGTTCTATCAATAATTCATTGTTTGTTGGTGCGTGCGTGTGTAAGTGAATTTTTATATTATTAATGACTTTACAATTTTTTATAGCATAAACTCATTGTCGTGTACATTTTGCGCACTGTATCTAGCCTACGATGCTCAACTTAGAGTTTAAATTTCTTACTTACAAGTAACAGAACATACCCCAACAGGTCAATTTATTTTAATCTCTTTAAATGAAGTTTTCATACAATAATGATTACATTACATTATGTGTGTTAATAATAAGAACTGGCAGCTTCATTACCTGTAATAGTTGTTATATATGGTAATTCGACTTCAAACTGGTTCCCCTTAAAAACCATCGTCAATTCTAGATGAATTCGATATTAGAATTGAGACATTTCGCTCTCTCGAATTGCAACACTAGCGACACAATGGTTACATATTGTTGTTACAGATGCATATTAGTGTAACTTGATAATGCATTTTTTTAAAGTTGGCTTTTTGGTAAGCTACTTGTCGTACACGAGTGGATAATATGAAACATTTTACAGAAAAGACGAAAAATCATTTTGAAGATGATATTTTCTACATCTCAAATAGAGGTAAGCGTTGAAACGCAAAGAGTACTTGATCAGTAGTGGGTCACGAATTGGGTTTAAAATTTGTTATACGTAAGTACTATATAATATAAATAAAGGATTATTTTATCTAGGATTCTTCTTTACCATACGAAAAATATATTGAGCCTTATGCACACACATTTTCCTGGTTTCATACTAGACCGTCTTATGCTAATAGCGACCCGTAACAATGACGGCATTATTTATGCCACACCTGGACCCCGGCCAAATATTTGTATGTCATATGTATTATTCCACCACAGAAATCAAACTGACCGTCTATTTCATAGACAAATCGACTATTTGATTTGCAAACATTTTCACATTCTATACATTTTAACATGTTAACTTACTGATGAATACATTTAATATTCATGATAGTAACACAACCGAATGAATCATTTTGATAAAAACTGTTCATTCATATATCTATGTACGTAAATTAAAATGTTTTCGATAGGTAATTTTGATTGTCCATTCAGTAATTTAGTTTCAATCGAAATAACAACGAAAAACAAACGTGTGCATATTGCTCTGAAAAAAAATAGCGACACGTCCTCTTTTATCAGTATGCGTGCATTCAATTGTGAACACACAGTAATGAACGTTAAGATATTTCGTATGTAATTACTTAAAACTTATCAATTAATTTAGGTAAATCACTTTTACAACATCCAATATATGTGTCACTAAGTGAGCTATTATATTTATATTAGATGTTACGAACATAATCGAAGTTAGATAACTAACGAAACAATCTAGTGCGATTTTATGATCAGTAGCTAGTACACTGGTCGGCTTCAGATTGAAAGGCGTAAATTTGTCTCGGGAGCTAATATGAATTCAGTATTGCATATACTTTGTTTCTTTTTACCTCGTATTATAAGAACAGACAATTCAGTTAAAAAACAGAATTTTCTGCCAGGTGAAATGTAGAGATGTTGAGTCTTACGTTCATCATAATAAGTAAACAGTTGAGAAATATCCCATAAAATATTTTTTTTTAGTACTGTAATTATAATTTATAAATTCTATAATGTAATGAAGCTAACAGAGACATTTGTCAACTATTGTCATTGTAATGAACGTAAGACCACTGCATTTCACCAAGCAGAACATTCTTTTTTTTCTTAATTATTTTTTCTTAATATATAAAAAGTTCTGGACTATAAATTATAATTTATATATATAATATATACTTATTATTTTTAACCATTTTCGAAATTACCAATTAAAAAAATAAAATTAAACTAACATAAAATACCAGTGTTTACTCTAACACTAGTAATAATAAGATTCGTATACAACTAAATGAAAACATGATATATTTTATAACATCAACTCAAGACAACATTAAGCGCGCATACATTCGACAGATTTAATATAAAATCCAATGGAACATTCACCTTTTTAAATTACAAAATAAACTTTAAAAGATTTGAACAAAATAAATAGTAGCGTCATTAGAGTTGCAGCGGCGATTGCGTCTCGCAATCAGCGAGACAGCTCGTATCGGCCTGTCCTCTTCTTTACGCCCGCCGTACTACACAGAGACGTTTCTAATTTTTTATTCCACCTCCAGTCGAGCACTATTAACCTTATTTGTTTCTTACCGTATTACGAGAAAACTGAAGTAAGTACAGCTAGGAACAGAGTAAATAACAGCGTCATTAAAATTATAACGTTGTCGCAGTGAACTGAGTTTAACCTGAAGTGTATATTTATTGTTGTAAATTGCTGATGCCAGTACTTTTTACGTATTTTTTACGTCTCACCTATATTCTCTATATTTAACTTTCTAATTACCATATGTAAATGTGCCTTGTAGTTCTGGCATAGAATAAGCCACCCTTTTTCTTCTTGTGGGTTTAATAAGAGGCGACTAAGGGAACTTCAAGGTCGAAGGATAAGCAGCAGCGTCTTTCTATAAACATCATCAAGGTCTAACTGCGGTTGCCAATTTGCCTGCCAAACGTGGCAACTACTGACAAAGCACCTAATAAGGAAAGATCTATGTTCAGCAGTCGATAGTTGACGGCTGAAATGATGATTATGATGATGATACGTAAAATAATAAAAAATAAAGGTAAAATTTTTTCTACATCTTTCATCAATTGTCTGAATTTAGATATTTATATTAGCTTAATATGTTAATACTATCTGTCTGTACGCCATCTTAATACTAAGTTATGATAATTTAATTAAGACAGCTATTTATATTGTTTCAGGGGCTTTGGCTTTATTACATTCGGCGACCCAGCTAGCGTAGACAAAGTATTAGCTCAAGGAACACATGAATTAGATGGCAAAAAGGTAAGTCCGGCAAGTTATATTATTAAATATACATAAAAAAAAACAACTCTTCACTCTCTCTACTGCTTTGCTTGATTACACCTAGATCTAGATGGCTCTAAGTGATATATATGAGGATTTTTTAATGCGTGAAACTGAAATGGTAACCCCGCCTGCGCTATCGGTATACACTGGCGGGGCACCAGTGATAGATGATAGATAAGGATGAAGGCAGGTCAGTAGGTCCATCGTGAAGAATTCGACAAGAATTAGCCACAATTATTTCCAGGACTTTTTAGGACAGTATTTGAGGATATTAAACATATATACACAACAGTAAATATTTATAGAAGCAATTGTTTTTTGTTATTAATACCAAAATATAAAAAATGTAATTAGGTTCTGACTTAATACCAATGTGGTATTACCAAAAGATAATATCTAGACAAACAAGACTATAATCGCATTACGTACATTACATTTATATTATTACTATCTAATAGATATACGTAACGTAATAAGAAATAAATCAAGCTTCGGTCTGGAATAATAAGGAAAAAGGTTCCCAATTAATCGTAACCGGACATTATTCTTCCCAAAAAACAACAAAAAATATAATGTTTATTTATATTAGAAACCATTACAAATATTGTCTTTTATTTGTGATGAGCACACTTAAATACACAGTTGGGGGATTCGATACAATAAGATTCACCAGTCAAGTCGGAAAGTAAACATTATTTTGTTTATTTACGTGTAATGTATGTAAACGATTTAGTACTTTGTCACGGTGACATCGTAGATAATTTCTAACATTTTAAACATAGAAATCATTGAGTGGTTAATGCGATAAGGTTCATTTGGGTATTGAACCTTGTTGCTTTAGTACTGACATTATATTATACCTGACATTATATAGTATATATATACTGACTTCATCGACTATAAGTTGCTTTACAAACAATTTAAAAAAATGGATGTTCTCAATTCGGCTATATTTTTTATGTTTGTTATAACTCCGTCAGTTGTAAACCGATTTGGAAAAAAAATTATTATCTGAAAGGATATATTTATAGATTTGTCTGATAGAAAATAACTAGTTTTGTTATAATTGCAGTCTGTTTTTTTTTTTTTTTGTGGAATACAATTTAATTATTAATAATTACCACATAGGTATGCATTTTTATAATTAGTTTCTGTAATTAATCTAGCTGTATCCCGCAGCTCCTCTCACGTTAACGAGGATAAAAAGGTGTTACGAGTATTTATGTTTTAATCCAGAGTATTCATTTACATGCAAGATTTTATTCAAATACGTGCATTTTTTTTTGTTTTATCACAATTAATTGTGACACAATCATCCAAACATCTTCACAAATCACATTTTTTATTAGGAATAGTAAAATGTATGATAATATTACTTTATATTTAGTTATGCAGTTTTCTAGATATTATTTAAGAGGTTGTTTCTTAAAAGAAGAACTGACTTCAGTCGTGGCAAAACCAGTTATTTTGAATTATATTTATTTATTAACTAACTCATTGATCGGATTTTGATAAAATTTCTATGTGACCAATCTAAAAGTATATCTGTTTATATAAAAAATAATTAATTTTCTCTTCTAGTCTCTAAGAGTTAAGGTAACAACCATAAAGAATACAATTGTATTGAGAATGTCCTCTTTTTTTAAGTCGACTAAAAATTCACATGTATACCTTTGAAACTTTAAATACCTTACCCTAGCGATTTACGCTACATTGACAGATCAGTTAGTCCGTAAGGACAAATCTTCACAGATATGACCTTGGAGCCTTTTCTTATTTTTTTTATCGCCTACAATTCTGTTGAAAGTTTGAAATAGTTCCAAACAAGCGTGAGTTGTACTCCCACGTGGATTTTTAAAACTTAACTTGTTTCGAGAAACAGAGAAATACTTCTTTTAATGCTCATTCCGTAGTCAATATTAGAACACATCTAATTTTTCACGTCGCTATTCGCAACCGAAAAGGACAGGTCGATTACTTCATATAATTTATTGACTGCCTCACCAAATCCCTGAAGTTAAATAACGGACCCTTAGACAAATAAATTTGATTTTGTTAACATACATTCTGTGAAATTTTTACTGGTAAGAAATGTACTCAACATTCAGCTTTTCTTATTATCTAGTTATCTTTTAATGGATGTTGGCAATCATAACGACGTTCGAGTCTGTTTCAATGAAATTGAAGAGATTTTTAAAGATAATTGATATTACAGTGAGTTAAATATTTGTGCGCCATTTTTCTAAAGTACACTTTTATTCTTATTTAATTGTATATCTTCATATTAGTTTTCTTTTAGCATGTTAAGAGAATCTAAGAGCAAGAGCTTACCTCACCTTATTCTTCTTCTAATTAATATTCTTTTTTACGCCCAATTTGACGTCAGGAATTCATATTTTTTGCCAGTTATTTTTACCTCCTCCTACGTTCTATTTAATTTGCCTATCATTATTCATGATTAATAAACAACTAACTTACCAAATCTGATCTATAAGTATTTAGTTCGATCCCGGTATCTGCATACTTCCACTTTTATATTTTACATATCTATATTTTAATTTTTTCACTGATATTTATTTATTTTCTTTATTCTGATATTCTTTTCATGGCTTTTTTCTGTTGTTTTTACAATATGTGTAACCATATTGGTTAGTTACCTAATGCAGTAAAGTATATTTACATATTATCTTTAAATATATATTTTTTTTGCACTAAACCACTTTCGAATATTTCGGTACTCCGCAAATAGTGGCTGGTAGACAATAACAGTAACATTAAGTCTGCCTTTTGTACTACATTGTATTGGTAAATAAAGTTTAAATAAAGTCCAAAGTTTTCGTTTCATACGGTGCCTTGGAGACGAAGAAGAAGTTTTATAACCAATTGTCAAAAATATTAGTCGACTGTTAACTTTTTTTTCTGCTTTGTGTGCTTTTAATCGAATACTTGCTAATAGTAATCCCGTTAAAATCTAGTATTAAATTCGAGAATTGGACTTTTTTAAACGAATTTACTTCTGTTACAAGATTTCCGTCAAAATTCGTGCGAGCCCGTCAACCGTGACTTTATCGCGAGTCTACGTCCATTTCTTGTGAAGTTTATTGACACATCCACGGTAATATAAATCCCTCGGTCTCCATCCGAACAGCGTTTACAACGATCATAAAGCGTTAAATCACAGCTACCTTTAATATTTTAACGTAAATTTCGTTTTTCCGTTGTTAAATTACGATGTTACGTTTTAATTAGCGGTTGTACCACAAACACGTGTGCTAAAGTTATGTTTACTAATATACAAAATTATGAATTACTGTATTCAGTCATATACGATTTCTATCAATTTATTTTATGACGTTGTTAATATAGGTATATATATCTGAGGATGGATAGATGTTTGTTAGTTTTTCATGCAAAAAGTACTAAATAGATTTTAACAGAATTTAGTATAGGATAGGTTAAATAGACCACACCATCGCTTTCCTTCAGGTAAGATCGTGATCAATCGTGGGTCTAGTCAATAGTAAAAAAAATACTTTAACTTAATTTAGCACAGAGGATGCTTTATATACTAATTTGCGTAGGTGAAGCCAAAAAACACAACTATTCCTTACTAATATAATGAAAATGCAAGTGTTTATTACCACACACACATCACCTTAATAGTTCAACGAATCATGGCATTTGATTTGCCATGACAGATGTAGAGTTTAGGATAGAGATAGATATACGCTACTTTTTATTCCGGTTAATCAACATATCGTATAAAAACTAATATCTGTATATAGACAATTTTGGCTGCTACGATTGCTATAGTCATTATTATCTGGAGTGATTTGCTCGGCCATGTGCACTTTGATGACTGCGTAGCTAATATTAGCGATACTATTACAGATTTTATAGATTGTTCTTAGTTACGAATTTATTTATCTTCTTCTTTAGAAACAAATTAATTATTATTAATTTACTTCTGAAGAATTAAAGCTGTATAAAAAGTAACGAATTTCGTATTACGAATGAGTGATAATTTGAATCATAAAATTCATAAATTTATTTTATTTAGGAAATTAAAAAATAAAGGATATTATTTTTTGGAACTTTATTTTTACTTCATAAATATATCTTTTTTTGTATCTGAAATATGAAAATGTAAATTTAATAATAATAAAATTCAAATATGCGAAACAAATATTATATCTGTAAGGCAAAATGTTTTTAAATATAGATACATCAATTTATTATGTCCATCCGCAGCTTTAATACATCCCTGTCACAGACGAATGGGTTAACTGTTGTGAATGTTTTATTATTATAAAAATAGAATAGCTATTCCAATATACCGAATGGGTTCGCCAAATCCCGCAACAAAAATATAAGAGAAATCGTTATTTCTATAGCGTCTAGCCATTTATGTAGATAATAATCATCTTTGTATCTTGGGATTCGAGACACATTACGAGTTCCCGTCCCGACCATTCTGTGTACAGATGGAGAAAAAAGTCGATTACTATCGCTCGCCACGAAATAATCCAGATAAATTACAGCTCCCGTCGTTGTTTACTTTGATTAAATTGTAGTAGACTGGCGGAAGATTAGCCGAAGCCTCGCAAATCGAGCGAGAAGAGAGAGCATTTTCTCAATTTACATAAAACGAACGCGGAAGATCGCGATAGTGTTTACATTCAATGTTCTTATATCGGTTCTTAGACTATTGTTATTTGTGTCAATATTTTTTATTCTATTGAACACGTCGATAAGCGTTTTTGGGTGTGAAGAATAAATAAATATATGTTTATTATCTTGTTGCTATGTTGTACGTTGCTGTGGTAAACGATATATTTTTATTTAACGATTTATCTTCATATTGCCTGGCAACCGGCTATTGTTGAAATGTATGATTTCACTTTTTCATTTCTAGTTGAAACTATGAACATGTGAACATGCTTGCATATAAGTTGTAGTGTATACTTATATTAATA